GACATAAGGCAGGATCGGTGTGTATAGGAATGCGCGTGCTGAATCCGAGCGCATCATCGATAAATGGGCATCCAATTCATGGCACACACACCTAGATGGATGGTGCTGGATCCGGGAGCATCATCGATAAATGGGCATGCAATTCATGGCACACACACCTAGATGGATGCATATAGGATATATTGATATAATACGACATTAACGCCCGGCTGGCTCAATAGCTCAGGGGTTTAGAAATCTGGCCGTGAAACCAAAGGTTGGGAGTTCGATTCCCCTGCTCATTTAGAAATCTGGCCGTGAAACCAAAGGTCGGGAGTTCGATTCCCCTGCTCTGCCTCCTTGACCAGAGCTGGACCTGATGATCTGCAGGGTTCTTTCCAGCTCTGCAGTTCTAAGATGATAATGATGATGTGAAACATCCAAGTTAGGGGACGGTCATTTAGCTGGCTGGAGAGCTCAGGGATTGGGGGGAGCCAGAGGTTGGGAGTTGGATTCCCCCCCCCCCCGGGCTTGGTGTAGGGGGAAAGCCCCGGCCAGGGCAGCCTCTTGGCCAAGCGGCAGGGCGGTGGTCCCAGGCAAGCCACTTCTCTGGCTCAACACCCCCCCCCCACACACAACCTTGCCTCTAGAAAGCAGCATTTTGAAAAAGGCAGGCTGTTAAGGAGTCACCCCAGAGGGGGGAGAACGCCCTGTGATCTCGGGGGACCGAGAGGCAAGGAGGGCAAGGGGGTGCCTGAGACCCTGGACATCATTTTTTGGGGGTAGGAAAGATGAGCAGCAGAACAATGCTGGAAGACGGTCCCTGTCTGCCTCTGGCCTCGTCCGGGACACGAGGGAGAAGATGGAAATCATGGGGTGGGTGGCTGTGGATTGGTATGTAACTGGGACATTCCGCAGGGGTCAGTGACCCTTTTGGCTTCAGCTGCTCCAGGGCAGAACGATTCCATCTGCAAACAATACGGTGACCGGCGCGAGAAAATGACAGGAGGCTTCTTCAGGGCCGGCCGTTGTGGCTTGCAAAATGATAGAGCCCAGGTAGCATTTGGCTCTCCATTTCCCTGTCTTCGGCTCTCTCTCTTTTTTTTGTTTCCAGATGTGGGCTGGCTTCCCTTCTCTCCCCACTCCGGAGAAGACACAAATAGCTCATTGTTTGCAACCGTGACCTTTTCGGAGGGTGGGAGGGCAAGGGTTCATCGGCAGCAGAGGGAAATATCAGAGATACCTTGGTTGGCTCATTAGGGACTTCTGCAGAAGAATCCGGCCCTCTCCAGAATGGCACAGACAATGACGAAGCCTGGTTACTGCACTGTCGCTCCAGGGCAGAACGATTCCATTTTTGCCTCTGCAAACAATACGGTGACCGGCGCGAGAAAATGACAGGAGGCTTCTTCAGGGCCGGCCGTTGTGGCTTGCAAAATGATAGAGCCCAGGTAGCATTTGGCTCTCCATTTCCCTGTCTTCGGCTCTCTCTCTTTTTTTTGTTTCCAGATGTGGGCTGGCTTCCCTTCTCTCCCCACTCCGGAGAAGACACAAATAGCTCATTGTTTGCAACCGTGACCTTTTCGGAGGGTGGGAGGGCAAGGGTTCATCGGCAGCAGAGGGAAATATCAGAGATACCTTGGTTGGCTCATTAGGGACTTCTGCAGAAGAATCCGGCCCTCTCCAGAACGGCACAGACAATGACGAAGCCTGGTTACTGCACTGTGCTGAAGATTTCTTCCTCCCCACCATTTCCCCTCCCTCCCCCTCCAAATCTGAAGGCTTGTGGCAGATGCTACAGGCTCTCACTGTGACCATCACATGCATTCTCCTCTCTTCGTCCTCATCTGGAGTCCTGTGTCCAGTTCTGGATGAACCCTTGAAGAAGGATGCTGAAAAATGGGAACAAGTTCAAAGGAGGGCAACCGGGAGGGTCAGGGAGGCAGAAAGCAAGCCCTCGGAGGAAAGACTGAAAGAACTGGGGCAGGTTTAGAGTCATAGAATAATGAAGTTGGAAGGGGCCTTTAAGGCCATCAAGTGTAGCCTTGAGAGAAGAAAACAGAGGGGAGGCAGAATAGCCCTTTTCAAACACTTGAAAGGTCGTCCTAACAGAGGAGGGGCAAGATCTGCTCTCAGTCATCCCCGAGTGCAGAGTACACATTTATAATGAGCTCAAGGGACGTGGTGGCGCTGCGGGCTAAACCGCAGAAGCCTATGCTGCAGGGTCAGAAGACCAAGCAGTCGTAAGATCGAATCCACGCAACGGAAGGAGGGCAACCGGGAGGGTCAGGGAGGCAGAAAGCAAGCCCTCGGAGGAAAGACTGAAAGATCTGGGCAGGTTTAGAGCCACAGAATAATGAAGTTGGAAGGGGCCTATAAGGCCATCAAGTGTAGCCTTGAGAGAAGAAAACAGAGGGGAGGCAGAATAGCCCTTTTCAAACACTTGAAAGGTCGTCCTAACAGAGGAGGGGCAAGATCTGCTCTCAGTCATCCCCGAGTACACATTTATAATGAGCTCAAGTGACAAAGCCAGATTTAGTCTGAATATCAGGGGGAAAAAACTCTTTAACTGTTAGAGCAGTACATCAATGGAACCCATTATCTCGAGAGGTGGTGGTGAGCGCCCCAATATTGGAGCTCTTCAAGGGAAATCTAGACAGCCCTCTGTCGGATCTGCTTCGATTGGGATGCCTGCCTTGATTAGGGGGTTGGAGTGGACCATCATTCTAGGATTAAAGCAAAAAGTGCGTGGCACTCTGTAGAGGTGCGGACTTCACCCATAATATTGGAGCCCTTTTGTTCCACACAGGAACAAAACTTTAGACCAATATTTAGGGTTTCAGGAAACGCCGTCTTCCGTCTTCTTGACGCATGGAATGTTAATCAAGAAGTCCGAAATTAGAAGCCAGCCCCCAACTTGAACTGATGATAGAAACATTCCAGGGACTTTAAGGAGAGTGGTTCCTTTTTTTAAACTCAGCTCTGCCTCTTGTTTTGCCAGAGATGGATGCAAGCGTGTGGGGTTTTATCTATTTGAGTGCCCATGAAACATGAAGGCTCGTTCGATGGTTCTGGAGTTTCCTAGAGGCCATATACATCCAAAATCATCTGTTGTTTTTTTATATTCCTGGGACAGCAGAAGGAGGCCTGAGCAGAGATACGTCTGAAATGTGTTTTGTGTGTGTGTGAGAGAGTATGTGTGTCTGTGTGTAAAACAGGGTTTTATTTATTTCCATTATTTATTTATTTAAAATGATTTTACCCTGTCTTTTGCCTTTAAAAGACCCAACGTGGCTTACATCATTAAAAGACAATATTAAAAGCTGAAAACAGTAAGTGTACAGATTCTAAAAAGGATCAATCAAATACAATACAAAAAAAACAAAAACAAGCAACACTAAAAACACAATCAAAGGAGTAAAGCACAACAATCCATTAAAAAAAAAATCCCAGCACAGGCGGCCAGTCCATTAAGGGAAAGCCTGCCTGAAGAGAAAACTCTTGGCCTGCTTGCGGAAGGAGAGCCAAGATGGGGCCAGGCGGGCCTCCAGTGGCAGGGAGTTCCACAGTCTGGCTCTCCTCTCCCGGATCCACACCAAGCACACATGTGAGGACGATAGGACTGAGAGAAAGGCCTCTCCTGAGGATCCTGACACCCGTGCAGGCTCATAATGGGAGACGCGGTCCTTGAGACAGTTTGGCCGTTGAGAGCTTGAAACCAACACTTTGAATGGTGCCCAGAAACGGACCAGGAGCCGGCGGAGTTCCTATAGCAGAATAATCAGGAGAAAATCCCAGCCACTCCTCTGAGAACCCATGGGGGGGAGGTTCTCCTTCCTTTGGGGACCTTCTGTGCAACGATCCCCCGAAATTACTCTGCCTGTAGGTCAGGTGGAGACTTTTGGAAGAGAAGTTACAGAAAAAAGAGGGGATGCTGCTTGGATCGTCGCACTGCGCTGTACACGCCTGCCGAGCCCAAAAACATGGGAACAGTCAGAGAATGTAGAGTGGAACAGACCAGAAGGCGGAGGCCAACAGGGACGGGGACCCCTGTCGTGGGAATTGCTGCCAAGGCATAAACAGCTTGATTTTAATAGGGACTTGGGACTCAGGGCTTGGGACTCGGACCCCCAAGACTTGCCAACATCCCTGGAGGCCGCTCGCTTCAGCCTCTCTCCTCTCCGCTCCTCCCTTCGGGAGGCATCCCCGAAATGGTGCTGGCAGCCGCCTCTTCTGGGGCAAAAGAAGGGGGCAACGCTTGGCAGCCGCAGCGCAACGAAGCAAGGTAGCCGTGGAACAAAAAACATCATTTCTTCCAGCTGCCT